TCGAACGACGCTCTGTTACTCAAGATATGACCTGGCGCTTCCGGGTCTGGCGGGCAGTCCGCGTCACGGTGGCATCACGCCGCGACTATGTAAGTAACGAGTTCGACCTTCCCGCTTCCCTCCCTTGCTGACTGCTGAAGGGCGGGCGACGCGGCGGGTGGTGGCCTTCGAAGAGCAAAGCGCAGCAAGAGGGCGGGAGGCAAGCTAGTGGGATGAGTAAGGCTTGCTAAGGCTTACTCAGCGGCTCACTAAGCATAGTGTAAGCCGTCAAGGAGATGAGGCAACGTCGCCAGCGACGAGGGGCAGTGGTAGCGACGAGGGCGCTGCGGAGTGACCGCAGTACCGTGACGGAGTGACGAGCCAAAATGTATATATTGGGGGCCTTTTGTACCTAGATAGACAGTGAATTCCCCTCGGGTTTCCTCACCTCTTGCGCTGCTTTTGATCTGACTCAGCGAGATTACGAATCACGATCGCGGCTGCGGGGTATTCTATTGAGGAACATCTGTCAACGTCAACGTCAGCTGTCAAACGTCAACGCCGTCGGTCCGAGACGACCTATGATATAGAAGTTGGTTGAGCCCCGGAAGATTGTGACTCAGACGCGTCTTGCCTAATATGGAACGTCGCCCTCACCTGATGGAGCGACCCATATCTGGAACATTATTGCTATATATGGCATATTGTTTGATGCTCTTGATGCTGGCTTCAGTGCTATCCACCACAACAATAAAAACAACAAATAATATATCAACAACAACAAATATATTCGATGTGACTGTGACTGTGACTGTTACCATATTAGGAGAAGGTTGTTTTGGTTTGGGGTTTAGTTGCATATTGGGTTGGTGGTTAGAGAGGGCAGGTCCTTCCTCTTATGATATGGTGAGCAGGTCTTATCTACCCACACCCACACCCACATCCACACCTACACCTATACCCACACTCACATCTACACCCACACTCACATCTACACCCACACTCACATCTACATCCACATTACCTACATCACCACCACCATCCATCTATCTATGGTTTCCACTCAGCTTTGCCATCATCACTTCCTCCATATGGATTGCAGCATGCATATACTTTGCATGGAGCCCCGACCTCACCCGCTTTGATCTGGTTGTTTTGGGTGTTTGTTGGGTTTCCACATTCCCCACCTACTGCCGGATCTCCCGCGTTTCATCTGGAGCCCACCGCGAGGGGCTCATCCACAAGAATGAAGACAATGACAAGCTAGAATTGGGACCACACCTTATACCATGTGACTCTGCTGGCAGGGTTACCCACAGTGACAACATTGCTGTCATCAATGCTGGACATGATCAGCAACCCTTACCTATAGATCACTTTCCATTGATGGGCAATCAGATGGAAGATAATATACAAGACAACATGAAGGACAATATGATCTCTGTGTTTATGGCTGGAAGCTCACAGATACCTCGTCTGAAACAAGGACAATTCTACTCTGGATCTAGTGCAGCAGTTCCAGTACCAGCTTCTTCAGCTGTAGCTCCCTTTCGGATTCCAAGGCCATGGGAGGACCAATGCCCAAAATTTACCACTGATTTGATTGATGATCTGGTGGATTTCCTTGACAATATGGTCAGCATTTTCGAACTCGGCAGCATCAAGGATAAGCAGAAGAAGAAGGAGCTTCTGACAAGTTATCTGCCTACTAGGAAAAGGTTGTTCTGGAGAGGACTTAGGACATATGGGGCTGCATATTCATATGCTGCATTTGTGGCAGAGATCCATTCTCTCTACCCAGAGTTGAAAGCACAAGAAATTGGAACATTACATGGACTGGAGGAGCTATGTGCAGAACATCAAGGACTCAGGCTTGATGAAGAAGGACGTCTAGTCAGGTTTGGAAGACAGTTCATGGTGCTGGTAAACAAACTGCAACAGGAACCATCTATCTTGACAAATAGGGAAGCATGCAAGTATTACTTTGCCACATTGGATACTAGATCAGCAAAAGAATTGCATCAGGCAGTACTTGATAGGCAGATAGGACAATTTGTTCTGGAAGAGCAGGGTCTACAGCCTCCCACAAACCAGAGACGTCATGAAGATAATATTGCATTATCTGAACTGGTGAAGACAGCTGAAAAGATTGCTGCAATGGGAAACATATTCATGCAGGAAGATGATAATGATTCAGAGAAGCTCACTGGTAAGGCAGAAACTAGAAAAGATGTTGATGAAGCTCCATCAAGACATGATACCATCAGGCCCCAGATCATAAAGCAAGTAACAAGAGACCAAGTCAGGAATCCACAGAAGTTCACAGATCAGTCTAGAGTGAAATGGAATTCAGGGAAACTTTCATCACTAGGACCAGGGTCAAAATTGCCAAAGGTGGACCATGTGGTAGATCATCCAGGACCACCACCAGCTGCATATGTGCTACCTAAAGTTGTTTGGAGGACAAGACAACCATCACTGGCAGCACTACAACTTGAACATAGAAAGCCTCAACAGGAGTTGAAGGAGATGACTGTTTTTGCACAGGGAGATGAGACTACTGAATATTTGGTTGGACAGCTGGAAAATCTGCCAGACATGAACTTGAAGGCAGACTTGGATAAGCACTGGCAATTGGGAAGCCTAGAAGATGGCCTTTATTCTGTGATAGCAGACATGAACTCCAGCCAAGTCTCAAGAATGAAAATGGAGAATACACCAATCCAAATGGAGGATAACATCAATCAGACACTGGGACATCTGGAGGACTCTCACTCTCACCTCAGAGCTAAAGTTGATGATATGAAGGAAGCCATGGATAGAATTGAGGAAGTCCAGAAGTATGATGGCACTACACTTCAAAGTCTGCAACACCAGGTGGAGCAACAAATGGTGCACTCAGACAATATCAAATATGGTCTTGAAGGGCTACTCACAGAACTGAAGTACTCAACCAGAGATGACATCAGTGATGCATTTGAAAAACTCCAAAGTGACTTAAACTCACTACAGGACCAATCAGCAGAACTGTTCAGCAGAATACAGGAGAAGATTAGCTGGATTGAAGACAAGATAGGACAGCTTGAACTACCAGGAGATGGAGTCTTAACAAGTGTTCAGCATGCTTGGCTAATGAACTTTTACCGGGATGAATGGGATAGGGGCTTGCAGAAGGATGATCAATCAGCAGCAAGCCAGAAATTTGTTCCATTATTGAGCAAAAAGCAACATGAGGCAATTGAACAGGTGCATAAACGGACTATGGAGCCTGAAATTTCTGGGAGGAAACCCAAGAGGACTCGACGTGGCAGGAGAAAGAAGAGTCTGGGGAAACTATAAAGCCTGTGGAAGACTGATATAGGCTTGGAAGATGAAATAGTTGATGAATTGAGAAATGGCTGGAAGTGAAGAAGGATCCAAAGAATCAAGCATGACAACAGCTTATGGAACAGGAAGAACATATTAACAAAGCACAAGGAATGGGACAATGTCTTGGTGAGCAAAACCTTGGAAGGGTATATATTGAAAGGCACTTTGGGACTTGGATCTTCAACACTGGAATATCAGACGGACAAGAAATGGCCAACAAAATATTTCTCTCAGATTGAAGATATGGAACAATACTGAAGTTGAGTGGGGACACTCAAGATTTTTCATTGGGGGAGATGAAGGGCGGGCGACGCGGCGGGTGGTGGCCTTCGAAGAGCAAAGCGCAGCAAGAGGGCGGGAGGCAAGCTAGTGGGATGAGTAAGGCTTGCTAAGGCTTACTCAGCGGCTCACTAAGCATAGTGTAAGCCGTCAAGGAGACGAGGCAACGTCGCCAGCGACGAGGGGCAGTGGTAGCGACGAGGGCGCTGCGGAGTGACCGCAGTACCGTGACGGAGTGACGAGCCAAAATGTATATATTGGGGGCCTTTTGTACCTAGATAGACAGTGAATTCCCCTCGGGTTTCCTCACCTCTTGCGCTGCTTTTGATCTGACTCAGCGAGATTACGAATCACGATCGCGGCTGCGGGGTATTCTATTGAGGAACATCTGTCAACGTCAACGTCAGCTGTCAAACGTCAACGCCGTCGGTCCGAGACGACCTATGATATAGAAGTTGGTTGAGCCCCGGAAGATTGTGACTCAGACGCGTCTTGCCTAATATGGAACGTCGCCCTCACCTGATGGAGCGACCCATATCTGGAACATTATTGCTATATATGGCATATTGTTTGATGCTCTTGATGCTGGCTTCAGTGCTATCCACCACAACAATAAAAACAACAAATAATATATCAACAACAACAAATATATTCGATGTGACTGTGACTGTGACTGTTACCATATTAGGAGAAGGTTGTTTTGGTTTGGGGTTTAGTTGCATATTGGGTTGGTGGTTAGAGAGGGCAGGTCCTTCCTCTTATGATATGGTGAGCAGGTCTTATCTACCCACACCCACACCCACATCCACACCTACACCTATACCCACACTCACATCTACACCCACACTCACATCTACACCCACACTCACATCTACATCCACATTACCTACATCACCACCACCATCCATCTATCTATGGTTTCCACTCAGCTTTGCCATCATCACTTCCTCCATATGGATTGCAGCATGCATATACTTTGCATGGAGCCCCGACCTCACCCGCTTTGATCTGGTTGTTTTGGGTGTTTGTTGGGTTTCCACATTCCCCACCTACTGCCGGATCTCCCGCGTTTCACTGCATGGGTAGTCAACCCTGTACGAGCTGGAGGCGCAGCACGGCAAGTTGCGCACGCGCTACGAGGAGGAGATCGCGCACCTCCGCGCGGAGCTGCAGGCGTCTCGCAGCGCGGGGCCGGGGCTCGGCGAGCCGGGTATCCCCGCTGACCGCACGGAGCGATCCCGGGACGGCGACAGGGAGAGGGACCAGTGGGAGAGGGACCGCGGGGGCGAGCGCGACGCCAAGCGACTCAGGCTCACCAAAGGTGTGTGCTACATAATATGCCCTACGTCATCATTCGTTCGCTCCCCCCGCTTATGGGCCTGTCAGAGCACGACAGCCCGCACGCACTCTCTCGTACCGCCCCACCACCTACCGGTCTCAGCGCCGAGAGCCCCGGGCGCCCGATGACGGCAGCATCGACATCGGCGCATCGCTTACCCGACCACTCGCACCTCCCGCTCCCGCCGATGCCGCTCCTCCGGTCTGGGGCCGCTTCTACTTCTGGGCTCGCGTTGATGCCCGCGCCGGAACGGGAGAAAGAGACCGACAAGGAGCGCGGCGACCGCGAGCGGGACCGCGAGGACGAGCCGTTCCCGGCGTGGGTCGACGGGCTGGACGTCGCGAGCCTCCCCGCAGACATGAAGAAGGAGGGCGCGGACTGGTTCGCGGTGTGGAACCCGCGGATTAGGCCGAGGCGGCTGGAGAGCGTGCAGTTGTTGCATACGTTTGCGCATGCGACGTGAGTACTTTGCTGTCCACATTTGTTTTCTTGGACCCTTTCCCTCCGTTCCTCCTTTCCTTTCTTTCGTATGTGTCGCTGATAAGTGGACAGAGTTGTCTGTTGTGTCCAATTCTCCGCGGACGGACGCTATTTGGCGACGGGCTGCAACCGCTCGGCGCAGATATTTGACGTCAAGACGGGCCGCAAGACGAGGTGCGTGGCTGCCTTTCCTTATTATTCCGCGCGCTGATGTGTGGACAGTGTGCTGGTCGACGACGTCAGTGGGCCGGCTGGGGACCTTTACATTCGGAGCGTGCGGTTTAGCCCGGACGGGCGATTTCTGGCGACGGGGGCGGAGGACCGGAAGATACGGGTGAGTCAATTCTTCTATTATCTCTTTCCTTGTCATTGGCACTTCCTCTCCCTCCCTTTTCCCATTCCGCTATTGTTCTTCTTCCTCTGCATCAACTCAATCGTGATGGTCTGGCCGGCGCTTCCAGACTCCGCGCCCGGCCTGTCCGCGACGTTCCCTCCTTTCGGCATTCGTCGTGTCCGCCTTGCTTGCCTTCGTTATTGGAGGCTTGGCCGAGCTCGGTGCAGCAGTGTCGGGCGATGTCGTGGGCGGCCCGCGGGCGTGTTTTCTTTCCTTATTTATGTCTTGCTTGCACCCGAGTCTTGACTAACCCGCCCCGCCCCGCAGATCTGGGACATCGCGAAGGGCACCGTCGCCCAGATATTCTCCGGGCACACACAGGAGATCTACTCGCTCGACTTCTCGCGCGACGGCCGGGCGGATCGTGTCCGGCTCGGGCGACCGGACCGCGCGCGTGTGGGACATGGGACGGCGGGCCGCCGCTCGTCCTCGCCGTCGACGAGCCCGGCGTCAGCGCGACGGCGCGCGCGCGAGGGCCCGGACGCGGGCGTCCACGAGCGTCGCGCTGTCGCCGGACGGGCGGCACGTCGCCGCGGGGTCGCTGGACAACGTGGTGAGAATATGGGACGCGCGGATACGGGCGTGTTGCTCGAGAGGTTGAGGGGCCATCGGGACAGCGTGTACAGTGTTGTTTTCACGCCGGACGGGCGGGGCGTTATCAGCGGCAGCCTCGACAAGACGCTCAAATACTGGGACGTCTCCGCCCTCTCCAGCGGGGGCAAGGTGAAGAAGGAGGCAGGCGTCGCGCCGGAGGGCCGCGCCGTCTGCACGCGGGACTTCCTCGGGCACAAGGTCCATTCCCTTTTTTATTTCTCTTTAAATACTAATGACCACCCAGGACTACGTGCTCTCCGTCGCCGTCTCGCACAACGCGCAGTGGATCGTGTCCGGCTCGAAGGACCGCGGCGTGCAGTTCTGGGACCGCGCGGGCGCGGTGCACGCGCTCCTCCAGGGGCACAAGAACTCGGTCATCTCGATCGACCTCAGCCCCGCCGGCGAACCTGCTCGCCACCGGGAGCGGGGACAGCTTGGCGCGGGTGTGGAGCTATGCATAGGAGGAGGGTATTTGGTGTATGCCGTATTGGATTGGGAATTGACTTGACTGGATAATGCTAACATCAGTATAAATAAATTTTTCATTTACATGTGGTCACTATAAGTTCCAAGCCCTAATCCACATTATCATCATCATTATCATCATCATTACTGTACACATCAGGATGAGTTGTCGCAGTGCCAGGGAAAGCCATACCACAGGCCAAATCACATATAGTGCAGATCAATGGTGTGTCTGGTGTCAAGATATGGTTTCCCTTATGTGGTCTCAAGAGAAGAGACCAGATGGTGTTTTGTGTTACTGGGTTGTAGATGACTGGATATTTCCTTTTTGCACCAGCAATGAGGAGAGTGGAGATAATGTGATAGATGTTAGTAGTGTTGAGGGGCCTCCAAGGGGAATTGAAAGAATATAAGGCGGCCAGCAAAGGTGTTCTGTACTTCCCAGCAACTAGATCCACCTGTGCACCTGAGGTGAGCAAGAGCTGTATAGTCACTGTGTCTCCAGAATATGCGGCAGCTTGAAGAGCAGTTCCATAGGGCCCTGCAACCTGATCCACCTGTACATCTGAGTTAAGTGGGAGCTGGACAGTCTCTGTGCATCCCTGATATTCAGCAGCCTGAAGAGCAGTTCCCAGGCGCCCTGCACCCAGATCCACCTGTGCACCTGAGTTAAGCAGGAGCTGCACAGTCTCTGTGTGTCCCCGAAATGCAGCAGCATGAAGAGCAGTTCCATCATACTCTGTAACCAAATCCAGTTGTGCACCTGGATTGGACTGGGTGCGCAATTGGAAAAAGTGAACCCTTAAGAATGGTGTGCTTGCGGCCACCTATACATTCGACGATCTCATCACGGAGCTGGAACTCTCATTCAAGGACACAAACATCACACAGGCAGCACATCTGAAGCTGACCACCACTCGTCAAAATAAGATGTCGCTGACCGACTTCTTCCAGTCATTCGAACTGCTAGCAGAACAGGCAGGCTATAGTCCCAATGCCAAGCCTTGTGCATATGATGCGTTCCTAATCCAGCTCCTTGAGGAGTTAGTCAATACGGAGATTACTGCTCCAATCTATGTGGGAGGCACTGCCCTGCCCAAGACCTATCTGGAATGGAAAGAGCGTCTGATGCAGATCAACGCGAACTTGTCTCGCTGACGCCACCGACGAAGCCGGAGACGAGCTCGGCGAGGTGCGGGGACAGCGCGCTCGTGGACACGGCCCCGACGCCCGGCGCCGGCGGGCGCGGGGAGGGGCACGGCGGGGCCTGAGGGCTGCAGCGTGCGGTGCTGGGGACAGGTTATGGTGGTGGGGAAGAAGGGAGAGGAGACACACGTTGTATATCCCGCCTGACATTCTCTCTGCTGCCATTCTCTCTTAGTCGCTTCTCTCTTCGTTATCCTCTCGGTGGCTGCTACGCGTATCGTCGCTCGTCGCTAGTCGCTCGTCGAAGTCGGGAAGGTGCTACGTCAGCGGAGGGCAGGTGGGCGGAGGAAGCAAGGCAGGGCAGGCCCACGCCCACGCCCCGCGGGTCTTATACCGCCACGCTGGCACCAGACGCCACGCGATGCGTACCCACGCCACGCCACCCACTGCCGCCGGGAATAGCCTTCCGGGGATGCCGTGGGATGACAGCGCGCACGTCCGCGCGCGTCGGGGGCAGGGCCCCGCGCAGGTCGCTGCTGGGCGTGTCCGATACGCTCGCCGCGAGGTAAGGTAAGTAGCTCAGCCTTCGTGTGGTGCTGCTAGTAAGTAAGGCACACGCACCCCGCGCTACCCACCCTCGATCGATCGATCGATCCTACCGCTTCTAAGTAGCTGCTTCTCTGACTGCCCCGAGCGCCAACGCCGCTCTCCCCCCGCCCGGCGTCCGTCCCGCGTCCGCGTTTGCCTCGGGCAGAACCCCTCCTTCCCCGCGCATCGCCGGCGTCCATCCATCCACATCCAGGCCTAAGTATGCATCAGCATCTGCCCATCGCGTGGCGGTGCGTACATTGCACTTGATTCCGCTTCTGCTAGGCGATGGGATGACTCTGCGATGGGGAGACGGGAAGGACGCCGACTGCCGGCTGCCGGTGACAGGCCGCATGCACCCTGGGAGAGGACCCCCGACAACCCCCTTATATGCCGAAGGCCCGACCGGGTAAAAAGTTGGAAAATTTTTCAAAATGCCAGGGGGAAACTGGGTAAAAATGGCTCAAATTTGCTGCCAACTCTGAGGTCTGATACTGGGTAAAAATGAGCAATTTTTGGAAGGTTTGGGGGAAATACTGGGTAAAAACTACGCTTTTGGTCCTTGGTGTATCTTGTAAGATCTTGTGCGTTCGAACCCCAGCCTACCTCAGCCCTTTGACTTTATTGTTATGATTATTTTCACTCCAAATGGTGCCTTGACCCGCACCCCTATTACGTACTCTCACCTTAAATTTTCATCTCGTCGACCCCCTCATTTGGCTATGTGTGTAGTGCACGCACGCTCCACGAGATTTCCGATACGGATAAGGAGTCTCCAACGTCTGAGAATGAGATTATTCGGGAATATATTGGGCGGGGCAAGCAAGCTTCTAAAGAGCTACCAGCTCTTGTCGACAAGTACATCCGTGCACAAAAGGCAATCCCACTCGAGCTTCAAAAGTTCATTCCCAAGGACACACTTCCCGTGCAATCGTTCCTCCGCTTCCCACTACCCAAAATACCCAACGGCATTGTCTTCTCCAAAGTCTCATCATGGTGGTCCAACAAGCAACCCAACGTGGCTGAGCCTGCACTCGCCTTCCACATATCTCCACCTCCTCGTGAACTCGTGAACCAGCTCGTAGCTGGTTTGCCGCAGGCCATTCTTGACGGGAAGCTTTCCATTTGCGACCCCCAACAAGCAACGGAACGATGGCCATTGTACACCATAACAATCTGGGCACTCCTCGCCAAAATGTCAGATGCGCAGAAGGACTGGAAAGCGGGGGAGGAATGGCTCACCAAGCAGACCAGCATCTTGTTAAAGGCCGAGATCCAGAGAGCTTGCTCGCTCTTTGCAGTCCTTCCCTGGCGGCAGAGCCTTGTCCTGACATTTGCCGACTCCAATACAACGACGTTAGACTTGACACGTCTATTGTCTGAGCGCTGGATGAATACAGGCTTGATGAATGTGATGTTGGGGCAGCTTGTGGATAAGTTGGCGAAGGACGAGGCTCGAGATGAGCGTTACGTTGTCGAATCCGTCAATCTCCAGGAGAATCTGGCGTTTTGGAATAGAGACATGGATTCGGGGAAGGAAAAAAGTCGGTATCAGCCGTGGCTCGACCGGGTTGCAAATCTTGGGGAAGCAAAGGGAACATTGTTGTCGGTCGTCCACTGGAAGGAACGTAAGCACTGGATACCCATCAAAGTGGCGACAGCAGAGAAGACGATTACTTATGGTGTGTACTCAGCTCAGTGTAAGGGCAACCCTGGAGACTCCGACGAAAGCCTAGCAGGGGAGGATCCAAAGCGTGAATAAAAGCTACGGGAAATACACGGAGGGACCGACCTAGCAGGGGAGGATCCAAAGAGAAGAAACTCTAAGGGTCCGCCTGCTAGGGCGCCAACTATATACTGGTCGTCCGTAACTGCCGACGTAGAGCGCAGAAGGCCTGAGCGGCGTCGCAGGCTCTGTCCCAAGGTGATCGTTGGGAGGGTCTTGACGGATCGGTGATTGTGCGGGCGAAGGAGGCCGTGGACGATGGTCGGGGTGGGTCGGAGCGTCCGAGGGGGCGCCGGTCGGATGCGCCTCGGATGCGTTCGGAGGGTCCGAAGGAGGCCGAAGCGGGGGTTCCCCTGACATCACCCCCCCCTTTGAATGCGGCGTCCCGACGCATAATACGGAAGGGCAGCGAGTCGAAGGTTGCTGAGGCGATGTGCCGTGGTTTACCCGGGTATCTCCGATAGAAGTCCGCAATCTTGTCTGGCGCAAAGACACGGTCGAACCGAACCCACGAGTCGTGTGAAGCATCGTAGCCTTTCCACCTGACGAAATAGTTAAGACGCTTATACCTTATCCTGGCATCCAAGATTTCCTCGACTTCCCATTCGGGAACTCCGTCCTCTAGTTCGGGGGGCGGTTCGTCGTAGCCGGGTCGTCCGTCGAAGGGGTCGTCCTGAGCGGGCTCGAGCTTAACAACGGGGAAGACGGGGTGGAGCTTGGAGTAACGCGGGGGGAGGTCTAGCTTGTAGGCACCTTTGCTAACCTCTGCGAGCACCTTGAACGGTCCAAGGCGCTTGTGGGAGAACTTCTCGGAGGGCCGAGTCGTTCTAATGTCAGAGGCGTCCAACCAAACCTTATCACCAACTTGAATCTTCGGAGCGTCCGAACGTTTCCGATCGTAGTACCGTTTATACTCGTCTTTGGCTTTAACGAGTGCGGCCTTTGCCTCGGAGACGCCGTTAGCTATCCGATCGCGAAACTCGTTTACCGACTCCAACTCTGAGCGGGCGCCTGGCTCGAAACCCATTCGGGGAAGCCGGCCAGTGTCCGTCATAAAGGGTACCTGTTGAGTGGAGGAGTGAACGTGGTTGTTATAGGCGAACTCAGCGGCAGGGATAAGCTCGTCCCAGTCGTCTTGTTGGTAGTTGGTGAAGATCCGGATGTACTGCTCGAGCTCTTGGTTAACGCGCTCGGTTTGTCCGTCGGTTTTGCGGGTGGTAAGCCGTGGAGGTAGCCGGTTTGACGCCAATTAAGCGCCAGAGTTCGCGTGAAGTCAGCGATGAACTGCGAGCCACGGTCCGAAATGTACTTCTCGGGGGTTCCGTGGTGCCTCCAGACGTTCCGATAGTACAAGCGGGCAGCTCCGACCGCGTCTATTGTCGTATGGCACTCAGTGAAGTGGGCGCGCTTTCCGAGGGCGTCGACCACTACCATAACCGCGTCATACCCATGGGCCTCGGGCAGCTCGACAATGAAGTCTACAGTGACAGTGTGCCAACGTTCGGGCGGGACTTCGGTCGGATGGAGCTCTCCATGCGGAAGCCTTCGGAGGGCCTTCGTGCGGCAGCATAAGTCGCAGGTCG